GGAGGAAGACGGGGGTGTTAGAGGGGAAATGAGGTGGTCACGTAAGCGAGTTGTTCTGAAGCGATTATCCTTGGCCGCGGGATCGGTAACGAGGGTGGCGCCAGTCCAAGGCTGGACAGGCAGTGTCTGGGCACAGTCCTCGGGGAGCGTTTCTGTGTCAGGCTGTGGGTTTTGCGGACTCTTTTGTGATCGTTCTTGCTTCGGGCACTTGTGGGTGAGACCCCCCTTCACAGCCTTCCTGGGCTGCGCCGTGACGAGGCTCAACGCGAGTGACTGTTTTGATTCTGACGCTCTCACGTCACGTACACCAGCAACACGCAAGTAAAAGATGAACGTTTAAAGAGCGATACCATTCACAACACATCAAAAAGTAAGTACCTAGGAATAAATCTAACGAAAGATCTTTAAGACTTTTACAGGAAAAACTATAAAACATCACAGAGAAAAAGAAAGTCCAAATTAATGAAATACTACACCTGAAAAACTTGATATCGTAAAGATTTCCATCCAAGTCAACTTGCAGATCTGTAGGTTTAACGCACTTCGGTCAGAATCCCAACGGCTTTCGGGGGGGGCTCACGGCTCACTCTGAAATGCGCACGTTCTTGAAGAGCAGTAGCGTCCAGGGACTTCGTCACCAGGTACGGAGACTTACGACGCTGCAGGAGTGAGACGACGCACCGCCACCGTGAAAGGAGACAGGCCAAGGGAACCGACCGGAGGGCGGGAACGGACCACACAGACGCGGGCAGCAGGTGCCGGCACAGGCTGCGCTGCAGGAAGCGGGACGGGCGGTGAGAGGCTGCATCTGGACCGCGGCAGGCAGGGTGTCTCTGAAGAGCGGGTGACGGGCTGCTCCCCTTGGGAGCTTCTCGCCACCAGCAGACGCAGCAAGGGGGAGGGGGCAGCAGAGCGGGCAGATGTTTGCGAAGCATCTTTTCCAGAACACAGTAAAACACCCTGAAAGTTAACGGGGAGAAGCCGGCATCCAACAGAAAGGGCACTTGCTCCACGAGGACCGGGGTGGCCAGTAAGGCGTGGATGACGCTCAGCCTCAGTGGCCTTCAGGAAGGCACGAGTTAAACCACAACAATTCTGCCACGCGCTTGCCCCGTGGCTAAAATGTGGAAAGGCTGGACACCGGCGCGGGTGTGGACCACACAATTCCGGGGCGGCTGGGGTAACGAGCCTCACTGTTCCTGGGAACCGATGGGCGGCTTCTGTCAAGCTGGACACGTGCTCCCCTAGGAGGTGGCAGCTGCACTCGTGGCTGTGGGCCCCGAAGAACTACGGCACGTGTGTGCAGGAGACAGGAACAGACGGTCATGGCAGCTTCCTCACTATGGCGCAAACCGCACGCCTGCCCCACAACGGAACGTGGAACCGCTGTGGCCCATCACACCGGGAACACGGCACAGTGATGGCAGGGAGTGGGGTGCTATCGTGCCATAGTGGCACCCCACAGGGCTGCACCCCATCCCGTGGCACCCCACAGGGCTGCACCCCATCCCGTGGCACCCCACAGGGCTGCGCCCCATCCTGTGGCACCCCACAAAGCTGCACCCTGCAGGGCTGCACCCTACCCCGTGGCACCCCACAGGGCTGCACCCCATCCCGTGGCACCCCACAGGGCTGCGCCCCACCCCGTGGCACCCCACAGGGCTGCGCCCACGCAGCGCTGAGCCCCAGGCAGGCGCGGCAGGAGCGGTGCACGATGGCGGCTTGGGAAGCTGAAGGTCTGCAAGGTGGAGCTGTGGTCTCAGAGCTGGAGAGGGTGGTTTCTTTTCACAAGGAAGCAGGGCAATGCTTGGGGGGGAGTGGCGCCTCGGGGGTTCTGCACATTCTGTGTCTTGATGCGGTGATTGTTGCATGGACGCTTGATCTGTGAAAATTCACCAGCGCACTGCACTTTCGATGTCACGCATCGAAAACGGTGTTTGAAAGAAAAATGTAATAAAAACTTAATTTAAATATCAGTTACATAAAATTTAATTAAACAATTAAAGATGTAATAAAAGGAAAATTTTAAGACGTGATGCGAGTTAAAGTCACGCACCGGCGGGTAGGATTTCACGTAGCGAGGGAGTGCCTCTCACACGTATTTTCAAAGGCCAGAAGGAAGAGAGGTGTTACCTGTTTTCGTCCAGCTGGCGGGAAAACTTGGGTTCTCTTTGTTGAGCATGTTGCTTTTGCGCTACGTCGTTGTTGCAGGAAACACAGCGTGAGCCTGGGCCCCGAGTCCCCGCAGGGCCATGGTGGTCGGTGCAGGCCCGAGGTCCCAGCCATACGGGCCTACTCTGCTACTCCTCAGTTTGCCCAGGTGACCTCTCTCGCCTCCAGGGGGGCGCAGGTGGGCGATGTCATGGGCCTTGGTGTTTCCAGGTGTATTTTCAAACACAATTCTAGTAAAAGCAAATGGCTCAAGTCTGTGCGCCTATGCCCCTGAGCTGCCCCAGATTTTGCAAGGGAACCTGAGCCTTGTCTGATCATGGCGGCGTCTTTGAGGTCCCTGGTGAGCTGGCAGCGGATGCAGCCGGGAAGGGCGGATCAGGGGCTCCAGGGCCCCAGGGTCCCCCAGCCCATTTGCTGGTTTGACACCCACGGGCTCGGGGCTTCTCCGGGAGCAGAGGAGACAGAGCCCCCTGCCGGACCACCCTGTGTCCTGGCAGGAAGAGAGAAAACTAACTGTAACCCCAAAGGCAGCCCGACTGAGCGACGTGTCAGGAAGAAACAGCTGTGAGGAGCGAAGGGGGGACGACGGGGGGCAGTGGGCTGGCAGTGCCACACGGCGGCCAGGGCAACAAGGCAGTGTCACGGCCTGGGGGCAGGGGCAGGCCAGGCGCGTGCCAGGACCCCCAGGGGCCTCGGGCTGGAGGGGCGAGGAGGTCAGCAGCCAGGGCCAGGGCTGGCGGGACCCTGCTGGCCACGAGGAGGGTGAGGGCCTTTGTGTCACAGACACGGCAGGCTCTGCGCGGGGCTTGGCCACACCACCCGGGGAGCACGCATGACCTGCTCTGGCCTCCTTGGCCCCCACCCGGCCTCAGAGCCCGGAGGAGAGTTCTCTGGGCACCCCTGGCCGGGCCGTATCCGTCCCTGCATCTGAGGGATGCCGCGATCACAGAGGCCGCCTCCGGCCCACGTGGGACGTGGCGGACGGCCCATGAGACCACGGCAGCGTCTTGGAGCCGGGCGCCCGGAGCTCCCTTCATGCCCACCGATGGGGCTGGAGTGAAAACGGAGGCCGGGTGGGCTCTGTGGCGGGGGGCCGGGCCTGACACTCAGCAGACCGAGCGCAGGGCCCCCTGGGGTGGGGGTTAGGGGGCGGTGGCGCTGCCGGGACCCTCCCCAGGGCTCCAGCACAGGAGCCAGAGCAAAGGCTGCCCCTGGAGTCCTTGTTGCGAGGCTCGGGCTTGGCGGCAGACACAGGGTCTCTCTGCCAGAGCTGTTTCCAGATGCTTCCGCAGGAAACGACCGTGCAGTGAGATACGATGTTTGTGTTTTACAAGGGAGGATCCCCGGCGTAGGGCAGTAAGATCCATGGGGCCTCGGTCCGGAATGTGGGTCCAAGTCCTGTCTGTGCCACTCCCTGGCTTCCTGGGCAGAAGCTCCCAGAGGGGGTGGGGGAGGAGAAAGTGCAGGGGCCACAGTCAAGGCCTGACTCGTGGAACCCGGGGTGCCCGGGGGGTTGCAAGGGCAGTGACCCTCCCCCCACACCTGGCCCTGCGGGTGGCCTCAGGCCGGGCATGTCCAGGGAGCTCCTGCTCCTCCGCCCCCAGCGCACTCTCCCTGGCTGGCCCCTGGGGTCAGGCGACCCCCCCTCCCTGTCTCCTCCCTGTCTTGCCCTCCCTCTCCCCAGGTGCCCGGCACTGGGCCTGGGCCAGCATCTACCCTCCCCTCCTGTCTCTGTGTGTGTCTCTCTCCCCACCTCCCTCTCGCTTTGTCTCTCTGTCTCGGTCTTTGTCTCTCTCTCTTCTTCCTGCCCCTCCTTCCCTCCCATCTGTGCTCCCCACAGGAGCCAGATGTTCCTAAACGCAAATCTGATCTCTTCCTTCCGGCCTCCACCCTTTCTCAGTTTCAGCTGTGTCCTGGGGGCAAAGGACGGGCTCCTGAACCTGCCCATGGGGGTAGGAGCAGCTCCCTGCAGGTGGGACCACCCAGATAACAGGCGGAGAGGCCTGGAGGACCCCGAGAAGGAGGGCACTCGCACCCAACCACGCACGGAGCCTTGGGGACTGTCCTTGTCCCTGGTCCTCCTGGGCCCCTCTGTCGGCCCGCGGCACAGGGCTGCCCCCACGGCGCTCTGTGGAAGGCAGGAGTCCTGCTGTCCCCAGGAAGGCAGTGGGTATGGGATGGCTTCAGGTCCAACGGCTCTGGAGACCCAGCGGTGGCCAGGGTGGTTCTGGGCCCTGTGATGAGCCCAGGGTCCCCGTGGCCCAGTCTGGAGGGCCCACCCCCCGGGCACCCTGGGTACTGGCGGGAACCCCTGACCCTTCGAACAGCTATTTATTGTCCGAGGCCGGCGGGGCTGGGCTGGGAGGGGCGATGGCCACCCCCAGGCCGCGGCTCCACCAGGCCCCACGACAGGCAGGCAGCCCCGCACCCAGCGGGAAAGCTTCCTGCAGGTGGGCGTGTGCGGCCAGCAGTGGGCAGCAGGGTCTGGGGTCCCACTGAGCCGGGTGGGTCAACAGACAGAGTCTATTTGCCTTGGGTCCTTCCTCAGGGGCGTGTCCTCGGAATCACTGTGGTCCAGGGAGGGCGGCTCACCTGTGCACGTTTGCACAGGGGGAGGGGCGGCCAGCGCTGCAGAGCGGCCTGCAGAGCGGCCTCCGGTGGGTGGCTCTGCTGGCCCCGAGGGCGGGCGCCCTGCAGATAAGGCATTAACAGTCCCGCCGGACGCGCCCTGCAGATCTGCTGACGGCTCCTTTCTGCCCAGGTGCCTGGGGTGAGGTGCCAAAGGTTCTCTATAAAGTGCCTCGGGCTCTCGGCCCACAGCCACTCGCCCTCTGTCTCCCGTCCTGCCCACAGCTGCGTGGGACCAGCCCAGCGACCACCATGGTGAGGCTCGTGCTGCCCAACCCCGGCCTGGAGGAGCGGATCCCCTCCCTGGACGAGCTGGAGACCATCGAGCGCCAGGAGGCCAGCTCGCGGCCCCAGTGGGACAACAAGGCTCAGTACATGCTGACCTGCGTGGGCTTCTGCGTGGGCCTGGGCAACGTGTGGCGCTTCCCCTACCTGTGCCAGAGCCACGGAGGAGGTAGGCCGGGCGGCGGGCGGCGTGCCGGACTGTCAGCGCCGATGCCCTGCGCACGGGAGATGGTGCCGCCCCCACCCCCGGTGCTCTGGCTGCTGCTGAGGCGGCGGAGCCCTGCGTGGCTCCAGGGAGGGCCTGCGCTGCCCCAGGGCGCAGCTCGACCTGAGGGCCGGGGACGGGGGACCGCGGCCCCCCAGGCAGAGCCCCTGTGCAGACACCTGGTGCAAGGCCCCTGCGCATCCTCTCGCTCCGCAGCCACGGGAGGCCCTGTGGCCCCTGGGACAGAGGCGAGAGCTGGGCTCGCGCAGGGGGCCTGGGTGGACGGGGCAGGCGGCCAGAGCTTGTGCCGCTGGGCTCCAGGCGCAGAGCGGGGGAGCCGCTGAGGGCCCCACGCCGCCTCCAGAAGTCCCGAGGGCCCTGCTCGCCTCAGCCGAGCCCCCTCCACCCCAGCTGCAGGACGTCCCTCTGTCCAGCCTCCTGGTGCCCCCTGGGGGCCACGGGGGTCGCCTGAGTGTTCGCCTCTGGGTGCCCTCGTGCATTTGACAGGTGCTTCCAGGCCGGCGAGACCCCTGTCCCCCCACCCCGAGGGGCTGTTCCTGGGACGCCGTGCCAGAGGCGGCCTTGGGCCGGGCGGGCGCAGGCTGCTGCCCTTGTGCGCGGGCGGCTTTCTCCCGAGAAGCCTCCGCCGGCCAGTCTGGGGCGTGTTCACAGCAGGCGTCCTCGTGTGGGTTTTTAAGGGTCTACTTTTAAATGATGTGATCTCGCTAGTGGCGGCCGTATCTTTCCTAACTTCGAAGGACTCGCTGCCCCTCACATGGGTTTTGTGACGTCAAAGTCCCTGAAGAAAAGCAGAGTTAGTCCCACCTCCAGCTTGGTCAGGGGGCCGGTCTGCGTGTGGGGCGCATGCTTTCTGTCTCTGGGCCGGCCGGGGGTCAGCACGAAGCCCAGAAGCTCAGGAGCGTGGCGCTCTCGCCCGTGGCAGCCTGTTGCCCCCCCAGGACGTGCCGTGTGGCGGGAGTCTGGCCGGCAGTGCTACAGACTCGCACGCGGAGCCTCGCGAGGACAGACGCAGGCAGAGTGTTTGGGGCCCTGATTCTCCGCGTGTGGCCTGGCAGGGGCTGGGCGTGGGCTCCAGGTGGACAGGCGAGGGCAGAGCAGAGCCCCGGTGCACAGGCTCCCAGGGTGGTCCCACGTCCCCACCACGGGCCGTGCTCCCCAGCCCAGGCAAGCGGCACCTGCACCTGGCCCCCGGCCTGCTGGGACACCAGGTCCCCTGCTGGACTTTGAGGGCCACTCCTCACGGGGCCCCCCAGCTGCGGTGATGGCGGGTGGCACCCAGGGTCTGGCCACCCCGCTGGCCTGGCGGAACGCAGGGTCGCTCTGCCGTGTGCTGGCCAGGACCCCATAGCCCAGACAACCCGCCTGCAAGGACTGGGGCCCCAGAGGGGCAGGACGGGGGGCCCTGCCCGAGGCCGGCTCTGTGCTGCTCACGGCTGTCCCCGGTGCACCTGTTTCGTGATGCGTGTGACCCGGGTGTGGCTCTGGTGGCCGGGGCTGCGGAGAATGGGGGATGGACTCCGCAGGGTGCCCTCCTCGCGCTCCTGGGGGACGCGAGGCCACGGCTGGCGCGGACGCCAGGACAGTGGAGTGCGAGCGACCCTCGGCACTCTCCACCGTCTTCCCGAGGGCTCCGCGTGCAAAGCCGCGTCCGCGACACCACACTTCCTGATGGGCGAGGGTCCTTGGTGCTGACCGAGCAAGACGCCGGAGCAGGCAGCTTCGTCCTGTTTGGGGCGGCCCTTCGGGATTAAAGAACCCCTCACCCTCCTCCCTCCCGTCTCCAAAGCCTCTCAGTTTTGCCCTCCTGGGCAAGCGCAGGCAGGTGGCCAAGAGCCCCTTTCCCGGGAAGAGCGTCTCCAGAGCCAGCAGCGCCGCCGCCTCCAGGCAGCACCTGCCCTGGGGCTCACCTGGAAACGGACGTGGAGGGGAGTCCCCCAGGCCGGTGTCGGGTGTGGGGGCAGCAACAGGAGGTCTCAGGATGTGCCCACTTGCCCGCCCGCCAGAACAACACCGCCCCACGTCCAGGTCCGGGACACCCACGGTGCCCGAGAGAACCGCACAGGTGGAATCACCTTCACGCCCAGGACACCTGCCCAGAAACCGCCCTTCTCCACGAGCATCTCCACGAGCCTCACGCTCAGGCACGAAGAGCCCACTGCAGGCGGGCCCAAAGCACCGCCGCCTCCTCCGCACTGCGCAGGGGGAGACGCGGCCTGCGGGGAGCCCAGGCCACCCCTGCAGGGACCCCGCCTGCTCTGCCTCGCCTGTTCCCGCCACCTCCCTGCTCCAGGGAGTCCGGGCTGCCTTTCCCCTTGCCCTGGTCCTGCGTCTCTGTACTCTGCAAACCACCGGCGTTCACCCCGCCCCAGACACCACCTGCCGGAGAGAGCAGAGGGGACGGCTTGGTCCCTGCTCTCAGAACCTGCAGCTGCCCCTCCCCTCCCCCTCCTTCCTCCTCCTCCCCCCTCCTCCCTCCTCCTCCTCCCCTTCCCTTCTCCCCCTCTACTTCTCCTCCCCCTCTTCCTCCCCCTACTCCTTCTCTTTCCCTCCTCCCCTCCTCCCCTCCATTACTCCTCCGCCCCACACCCTCTTCCTCTTTTTCTCCTCCTCCTCATTTCCTAATTTTTCAAGAAAAGAGGGGACTGTGTTTCTGTGCCAAGTGTCTTTTCCCTTCTGGGCATTTTCTCTTGTCCCTGTCCCTAGTCCCTACCGTTATCTCTGCCCTTTGCTTCCACCTGTGAAACACAAAGGCCAATGAGGCAGCGAGAGGAGGTCCTGGTCTCTGGGGACCTTTGGAACCTCACTGGCATCTGCTTCGTCCACCTGGCAAAGCCATCCGCTCCCTGCCCCTGCCCCGCAGTGGAAGAAGTAGGGCTTTAGGGAGAAAATTTGCACCCCTGGGGACTTAATCAGTCACTCGACATCCTTGCTTGGGTTTCTGGAGGGAGCCTCGCGCCCAGGGGCTGAGTCCCTCGTCCCAAAGGCGAGCGCTGCCCCCGGGAGCCCCAGCCCAGTCAGCAGCTGCCTCCCACGACAGGCTCCATGTGGGCGCGAGGGAGGGCCTGGCTGCCCCGCAGGACACGGGCCGGGCCCGGCACACGTAGGGTGCGGCATGTGTGTGTCGGCCCATCCCTTGGTTCGCTGCTCGGTTTCTAGCCCGACCCACAGGGGTGAGGGATGGGGCCCTCTTGTCCCAAGGAATTTCCAGAAGGGAGGATCATCCGGAGCAAGGGCCCCGGCCAAGGTGACCCAGAAGACGGGGCACTGAGTAGGGTTTTCATGGATGAGTAGGAGTTTTCCCAGGGAGTGTTTAGGGGTGGGTCCTGGAGCGGAGGGGAGGGAGGGAAGGACATCAGGGAACCACGCACTGGTTTCTTCCTGGTGGTTTTGCACAAAAGAGTTGCAAATCAAGCTCCTGGTGGCTGCTGGGACGTCAGGTGTCCCTGCAGGTGAGCTGCAGCTGTGGCCCCACCCCTAGGGCTTGGCTCCCGGGTCTCTCCTGGGCCCTGTCACCGCTCTCTGCTTGCATCCCGCGGTTGAGCCCAATGTCCGGCCAGCGTGGGGCCCGGCGCACGGGATTAGCGTCTGCCTGCCGCCGGCACCTTCCTGCACCGAAGCCAGGGGAGGTCGGGGAGGGCACGCCGTGTGTGGCTGTCATTCCGTGTGGGGACGGTGGCATGCCCGTGGTGGCACCGTGTCCCTGCTCCCTACTTGTCCACGCCTGCTATGGTCGGTTGTTCAGTGCCCCGCTAGGGCCTGGGTGCCGGCAGGAACCACGGGCCTGCTCAGCCGCCCAGGGGCTCGCGGACGAGCCCGCCCCCCGCAGGTGAAGGACCCGGACCCTGCAGCTGCTCTGCGACTGCGGCTCTGGCAGGAGACGACCGCCCTTCTCCGCCGTGGTCCTTCTAAAGAGACAGGATTGAAAGGGGTGGGCAGACGTGAGTGCGAGATCCTTCCAGACGCTTGGACGTTTTGCGACTCTTACCCGGGGTCCGCCGTCCTCGCGCCGGCTTTCCCAAAGATGCGTCCGGAGCAACACACCTGATTGTCACAGAGATCGAGCATTTCCCCTAGGGTTAGCGTAGCTCTATCTTTTATTTATTTCAAAACAGTCCCCGAGCAGCTTTCCAGCCCACGTAGACACCGACGTGGGCCTCGGCGTGGTCAGGAGAGTGAGCGTCTTGCCTCCCGGTTCCCTGGGCCGTTCCGCCTCCTCTCGCGGGTCGGCCTCAGGAGTCACCGGATTCCAAAACAACCCGAACATCATCACGGTTCAGTGTCTGCTGCTGACAGTCCACGCTGGAGCCCACGGCGCTGGCTGGAGGTGCCGCGTTGGGGCCACGTCTCCCGTGAGACAAAGCCCGTGTTGGGATGGAGGCAGACGTGTCTGAACACGGTTCTTCTTTGCAGTTTCCTGTTATCATACCCAGGACACACATGACATAAACGTTGCCACCATAATTGCCATCACGTGTCCAGCCAGGGGTCCAACACACTCACAGAGCCACCCACCCGTCCACCACCTGCCTCCAGACGTTTCATCCCCTGGGGTCCTGCGCCCAGCACCGACTCCCGCTCCCTCCCCAGCCCCAGCAGCCACGTCCACCTCTGCCCCTGCGAACCCCACTTCTCCGGGGCCGCCATGGAGGGGCCCATAGAGCGCTTGTGTTTCTGTGACGGGCGCTCTCACTCAGCATAAGGTCCTCAGGGCTCACCCACATTGTGGCAAACAACAGGGCGTCCTTCCTTGAGGCTGAACGTGCGCTGTGCGTGGATGGGCCACACTGCACTCCTGCCTCCGCCTATCAGTGGACGCTCGCGTGGCCTCGGCTATTGTGGAACGTGCCGCTCTGAACACAGGGATCTGCGTGCAGTGCCCTGGGGGACAGACCCAGAGGGGAGCTGCTGGGTCCTGTGGTCGTCCTTGTTTTTACTCTTCGAGGAGTCACCACGCAGGTTTCCACGGTGGCTGCGCCATTTACCTTCCCACTTGGGCAGCGCCAGCTCCTCCGCTTCTCTGCCCACACTTGTCACCGTCTGTTTGCGTGACAGTAGCCGTCCCAGTGAGTGAAAGGTGGTACCGCATTGTGGTGATCTGCATTTTAAGATAAAGGACATTTGGTGTCACAGATGAGCCACTGCAAGCTCAGGAACAATCCTTGTGACAAAGAGGACGGGTCCCCCTCCAGGCACAGGGTGTGCCAGGGAGCAGCCCCTTTCGTGGGCAAGTAGGGGGCAGTGCAGTTGGCACCGCGGGTGGGCGCGGGCTCTCTGCCGTGGGCCTGCCCAGCTCCTGGCCAGCGGCTCCTGGGCAGCGAGGGGGCTGGAGGGCGTCGATTCGGTGCTACCACGAGGGCGCCACGGGGCGCCTACTGCATTGGGCTGTTCAATGCCTGGGGACGTCAGTGGAGCCTCGGTGAGTGGCCACGGCTCCCAGGGTCCCACACGTGGTCTCAGCCCATTGCACAGCTGGGACCGTCGGGCCAAGCGGTCCTTCCGGGACGTGAGTGAGCTCTGACCCTGGTGCAGTAGACGGGCCCTTACATCCAGCTCCGTCCAAGCCCGGGGGCCGCTGCCGGCCCAGACCGAGCTCCCCATTCCCGCCCCACCAGGTGCCTTCATGATCCCCTTCCTCATCCTGCTGGTCCTGGAGGGCATCCCCCTGCTGCACCTGGAGTTCGCCATCGGGCAGCGGCTGCGCAAGGGCGGCATGGGCCTGTGGACCGCCATCCACCCGGCCCTGAAGGGCTTAGGTGAGTCGCCCTCCCCGTCTCCCCGTCTGCTCTGGGGAGCGGGACATCCCGGGTCTGTCTCCACCCCAGGCCTCCAGAAGCCTTGCTAGAATCTGTGGGAGGGCACGTGGCAGTGTCCGGGCCGGGCCATTCCTGGTCTCCAGGAAACAGCCAGGGCAGCAGAGGCCACCGAGACCCTGGTGGCACAGGGCACAGGACGCCAGAGGACAGCAGAGTGACCCCTGCCTTCCCAGAGCAGGCTCCGCAAGGGCCTGGCACCGGGAGGGGCGCTGGCCGCCTGCTCTCCCCACCCAGGTCAGGGAGGAGGCCCCGCAGGGACGCTGGCCCCAGCTGTGGTCACTCACTCAAGCCCTGTGACCTGGCCCAAGTATGGCTCACGGAGACCTCAGGATACGGATAAGAGGGTTCCAGCTGAGGGAGAAGTGGGCAGGGTCCTGAAAAGGGATTCTGAGCCCAGCAGGAATCCGCCCTTCTGAAGCCTAGTGGCCTAAGCTCACCTGCTCCCACTCCCACCTGCTCCCACACCTAACTGCTCCCACTCCCACCTGCTCCCACACCCACCTGCTCCCAGAGCCCACTTGCTCCCACGCCCACCTGCTCCGAGAGCCCACCTGCTCCCTAGGCCCACCTGCTCCGAGAGCCCACCTGCTCCCTAGGCCCACCTGCATCCACGCCCACCTGCTCCCAGAGCCCACCTGCTCCCCAGGCCCACCTGCTCCCACGAGCCCACCTGCTCCCCAGGCCCACCCCTGCTCCGAGAGCCCACCTGCTCCCACTCCCACCTGCTCCCACTCCCACCTGCTCCCAGAGCCCACCTGCTCCCCAGGCCCACCTGCTCCCACACCCACCTGCTCCCACGCCCACCTGCTCCCAGAGCCCACCTGCTCCCAGAGCCCACCTGCTCCCAGAGCCCACCTGCTCCCAGAGCCCACCTGCTCCCAGAGCCCACCTGCTCCCTAGGCCCACCTGCTCCCACTGCCACCTGCTCCCACACCCACCTGCTCCCACTCCCACCTGCTCCCCAGGCCCACCTGCTCCCACACCCACCTGCTCCCACTCCCACCTGCTCCCACTCCCACCTGCTCCCACGCCCACCTTCCCTGGCCTCCTGTTCAGTTTTCAAGATCTCCTCCCTCCCTCTCTTGTCCTTCCCCATCTCACACTCTCACATTCACACACACACTTGGTTTTCAACTTAAAATGTCAAGACAACATGGAGCACCTGGATGGCTCTTTGCAAAGGCCCTGTGGCCGCCTGCCCGCACCTGCCCAGTGGAGGTGGCAGGAGCCCCGGGCTCTGGTGGGTCGGGTGTGCGTGTCTGCTCGGCCCCGGCCGCCTGGCTTTGCTGCTCAGCCTCAGGAGCAGCTCCCCGACCGCCGGCCCCCTGCACCCAGCGCTGCCCGGGTGGGCAGGTGGGCAGTGCCCTCGGGGCCACACCGCAGCAGCAGTGCCCTCCCGCAGGCTTGGCGTCCATGTTCGTGTCCTTCGTGGTGGGCCTGTACTACAACACCATCATCGCCTGGGTCATGTGGTACTTCTTCAACTCCTTCCAGGACCCGCTGCCCTGGAGCCAGTGCCCACTGGATGAGAACCACACAGGTGAGCCCACTCCCCGCCGCACCTACTCGACAGGCAGACACGCCCTCCCGCAGGGTCACCCTCCAGTCTTCTAAAACGCAGATGGCCACAGCTCAGATTTGTCAAAACCCAGAGCACTGTCAGAGCAATGGGGCATCTCTAATGGTCACAGTGCAGGACAAAAGCCCCCAGAAATGGTGGCTGCTGCGTCAGGGTGGCACAGTGGCGGGTGAGGTCATCAGGACGGCCACCGTGGGACTCAGCATGTGGGCTCCGCGATGCCCGGCCCCTCACCTCCCGCCCAGGCATCCCGAGGGGACTCTACACACATGCAGCAGTTCTGCCCCTGTGTGTGTGTCCCAAGTCACCCCTGCCTCTCGTCTGGTCCTCCTGGCCCCGTGCCCTGCCTGTGGCTTTGCCTGGGGCCTCCGCCACGCGCCCTGCACTGCACTCGGGCTGTCAGGGCCTGTCCCGCCCCGGCGGGGGGCTCGGCGATTAGAGGCCTGCCCCTGAGAAGGCTCTCGGGTGGGCCACGTGCCTGGAGAGGCCCACAGCGCTGAGGACGCATGGAGATGGGCAGAGTCCTGGGCGGGGCCCAGGCAGGGGCCCAAACACGCTGGAACCTTCCGTGTTGCCGACGGCAGCCGGGGTCAGGCAAGCGGGAGAGACCCACTGCGAGAGGCCTGTAGGCGTGTGTGCACGTGCACGTGTGTGCGTGTGCTCGGTGTCTGTGCCTCGGGAGCGTGGCTGGCATTTCCTCCTGCTCCGGGCCCCGTGGCGCCTGCTCTCCCCATGGCTCCTCCTGGGAGACACCTCCCTGAGCGCGCGGACGCCGTCTCCGCAGGCTACGTGGAGGAGTGTGCCAGGAGCTCCCCCGTGGACTACTTCTGGTACCGCGAGACCCTCAACATCTCCACCTCCATCAGCGACTCGGGCTCCATCCAGTGGTGGATCCTGCTGTGCCTCACCTGCGCCTGGAGCGTGCTCTACGTGTGCACCATCCGCGGCATCGAGACCACCGGGAAGGTACGTGGGCGGGCTGCCCCTCCAGGCCGACCCCGAGGGCCCCGGCGCCCACCTGCGCTGCTGCCTCTGCCCTGGGCACGTGCGCGGCTGCGAGGGTCTCTGTGCTGCCCCCCGGCCTGCCCCACGGCCCATACCTGGCCTGGCCTGGCGCTTCCAGACAGCGCACTGGGAAGCCCCGTGCAAGTGCGGCCACACGCCTACCGGGTGGAAGGGGCCCCGCAGCGACCACAGGGAGTGGGGAGGGGAGGGCTCCATCTGCCCAATACCGCAGAGAAAGCAGCCGAGAGTCTTGCCCGGCCAGTCCCTCCCCTGCGGCTGCTCTGCCCGAGGGGCCTGGGCTCCCTCTGTCCCCGTGGACACCTGCCCCCACATACCGGTCCCCACACACCTGCCCCCACACACCTGTCCCCACACACCTGCCCCCACACCTGTCCCCACACACCTGTCCCCACACATACCTGTCCCCACACACCTGCCTGCACACACCTGCCCCCCACCTGTACCGACACACACCTGTCCCCACACACTTGTGCCCACGCGTCTGTAACACACCCCTGTCCCAACACACCTGTCCCGACACACCTGCCTCCCCGCACCTGCCTCCACACACACCTGTCCCCACACACCTGCCCCCACCTGCATCCACACACCTGTCTCCACACACACCTGTCCCCACACACCTGCCCCCCACCTGTCCCCACACACCTCCCCACACCTGCCCTGCAGGCCGTGTACATCACCTCCACACTGCCCTACATCGTGCTGACCATCTTCCTCATCCGGGGCCTGACGCTGAAGGGCGCCACCAACGGCATCGTCTTCCTCTTCACGCCCAACGTGAGTCTGCCTTCCGCCCTGCTCACACCCCCGGCCTCGGGACCTCCCGCCGTGGGCGGCCTGTTCTCCTGCCCTGTGCCGGGGAGGGCACAGCCTATGGCCTGACTGTCCCCCTCTGGGGAATGGAGCCACTGCAGCGGAAGGACCTGCCCCACTGGGCAGTGCGTGTTCCTCCCCCAATCTGCCAGCAAGACTCACGGCTCTCCCGCGAGCCATGCCCTCCCGCGTCGCCAGCGGCCAGTCCTTGCAGCTGAGGTCTCTGTCTGGCGCAGGTCGAGGAGCTGGCCAACCCGGTCACCTGGCTGGACGCGGGCGCGCAGGTCTTCTACTCCTTCTCCCTGGCCTTCGGGGGCCTCATCTCCTTCTCCAGCTACAACTCTGTGCAGTGAGTGTGGGCGGTGGGCGTGGAGGGCTTCCGGGAGCATTATGGTGCCATGCCTCGGTTTCCCTATCAGACTGTGGGATTGTCTTGTGAGGATAAAAAGACGGGACAGACAACGGGCGCTCACTGCACCGCGACCAGTTAGTTTTCTGCTGCCAGGTCAGGGTCTGGCCAGGCCCCTGCAGCTTCCGCCGCGCCCAGTGCCTTAAGGAACCTGGGCCTGGCCCTGGGGTGCTGCCTTGAGGCCCCCTCCACGCACACTGCCCAGCCCAGCCCTCACCCCCGGCCCCCGGACGGTGCCCCGAAGCCCGCCAGCAGGCCAGGCACGATGCTTCCCGCCGACCCCAGCCCCGCCCACGAACCTGCACACCCCTGGACGGGGCCAGTAGCCTTCAGGAGGAATGCAGTTGGTGTCAGCTCATTTCTACGCACACTTGCGGAGCACCGACTGCATGCCCAGCCTGGTGCATCTGGATTCAGCCTCAGCCTTGCAGGGAGACAAGCGAGGGCAGAAATGTCACGTGTGCAGGAGAGACAGGACAGCAGGAAACACAGGGCAGGAGAAAGGGCCTGGCGGGGTAGGAGCAGGACTCCCAGGTCAAGGGGGTGGGGCGGGGCCTTGCAGGGGTGGGGCCTTGTGGGTGGGGCCTGGATTGGCAGGTGGGGGCCCAGGCGTGTGGAGGGAGCGCTTGGAGCCAGTGTGGGGTGGAGAGTGTGGGGGGTAGAGTGGGAGCAGGCGGGCACTGGAGGGACAGAAGGGCCACAGGTCACTGCCTGTGCTGGGGCAAAGACCTCCCCTGGTGCCGGGACAGGTGCTAGGAAAGCCCCAGGGCGACTCCGGCTTTCTCGGGGATTGGCAAGATGGAGCTGAGGGAGAATTGTTTTTGTAACAGCTTTGTCCTGATAACTTGCACACCACATGGTTCTCCCATCTGGGGTGCACAGTTCAGTGGTTTTAGTACATTCAGGAGTTGTCCAGCCAGCACCGCTGTCTAGTTCCAGAACATTCTAGCCACGCCAGAAGCCCCATATCCACTAGCACTCCCAAATGCCCCAGCCCCCAGCCCCCGGCAACCACCGACCACTCCCAGCCCGTGGCCTTGCCTGTCCCAGACACACCCGCGGCGGCCCACACTGTGAGTGATGCCCCACGGACAGATCTCTCGCGTGCACGAGGAGGGGACTGTGGGTGCTCAGGGGCTCCCGGTCCCACCCTCTGAAAAGCCGCCAGACGAGTTTCTGCGGCGGCCGCGCCATTCCAGGTTCCCGCCAGCGTGTGGGGGGGCTCCCGTTTCCCCACATCCGTTTCCCCACATCCTAGCCGGCACTTGCTGCCGTCTGACTTTAACTCCAGCTGTCCCAGTGGGCGACTTAGTGTGGTTCAGCTTGCAGTTCCCTGCGGGCCGACAGTCTGCTCTTGGCGGAAGCATCTGGAAGGATGGTGCTGGCATCAGCCAGATGGGGGCCTGGCTGGGTGGGCGAGGTTAGGACGTGCTGGGGGGCCTGCTCTTAGGAGCCGGGCCCTCAGCTGGCGAGCGGACGGACGGGATGGGGGGAGAATGCGCGCTGGGTCCTCCGGCTGTGCTGTTCCGGAGACCGGAGCTGACCGAGGTTACAACAGACGTGAGGGTGGGGGGACCCTGGGCCTGGACTCCAACCTGGAGAGGTCTGGGTGCTGGGAGCAGCGGGGTGGGGCGTGGGGCAGAGCACGGCCCTGAGGAAGCCTGGGGCAGGGGACGGCCTTGGGGCCCACCCCCACGTGCCTCCCCTGGGCCACGCGCCCTGGACCGCGCTAACTGCGGACCCCTAGGCTGCTCGGGAATCCCCTGGGGACTCCCAGTTGGGAGACCCCTCCCGACTCCTCTGGCCACTCCTGTACGCCCAGGAACCTCCCCTTGCAGCAGGGCGTTGGGCAGTGTCCCCAACTCCTTCGGGTCCCGGCTCTGGGGAGCCCCGAGTCGACGTGGGCTGGAGCTGGGGGGCCCTGGGCCTGCACCAGAGGCCAAGGGGGTGCGAAGGCCAGGTGCACCCTCCTTGCCAACTCTGCCACGCCTGGTGAGCCCCCCCAGACCTCTGTGACCCACTTTCCTCCTTTGTACCCTGAGGAGGTGGTAAGACCAGCCCCAGGGCCACCCGGCCCTAGGGGTTATGGCCTGAGCCCCTCTCTAACTTCTACTAAGTCAGAACCTACGACCCAAACCAGAGGGTCTCCAGAGCTGCCAGGCTGGTGGGCAAAGTGACGAGAAGGGCCCGGGGCTGGGGGCACGGCCCTCTGGTCACCTGTGACCTCAGTGCCTGCTCAGAGGATGTCAGGCTCCCGCCGGCCCCGCTCCCCGCGGCGGCTCAGAGACCAGCTCCGGGCCGGGCGCGCTGTTTCTGCCTCACCGCGTCCAGCGTGGGGCTGGCCGTCCGCCAGATCAGGCGCGGTGACGCTGCTGTCCTCCCCAGCAACAACTGCGAGATGGACTCAGTGATCGTGTCTGTCATCAACGGCTTCACGTCGGTGTACGCGGCCACCGTGGTCTACTCCATCATCGGCTTCCGCGCCACCGAGCGCTACGACGAGTGCTTTAGCACGTGAGTCCTCCGCTTGCGCCCAGGCCAGCGTCTCGGGGCAGCCTGAGGGTCCTGCCCGCGGTGCAGTCAGCTCAGCCCTCGCTCCTCCCAGGAACATCCTGACCCTCATCAACGGGTTCGACCTGCCGGAAGACAGCGTGACCCAGGAGAACTTCGAGGAGGCGCAGCGCTGGTGCAACGCCAGCGACCCCGCGGCCTACGCACAGCTGCAGTTCCAGACCTGCGACATGAACTCCTTCCTCTCGGAAGTAAGTCCCGCTGGGCCCTCTGGGTGCGACTCGGAGCCCGGAGGCCGGGAAGGGCGAGGCTGCGCAGTGCGGTTTGGGCCGCCTCCCCCCGGCCGCTGTGTCTGCCCACCTGTTGCCCTCCCACCGCCGGGGCCCTGCTGATGCCGGAGGCGGGGGCTGAGGTGCCCTGGGCTGGCCCCCCGTCCTCCCCCACCCCACACTTGAGAACACGCTTGTGGCCATTTGCGATAGAATCCCTTCTGCAAAAATTGAAGAATTTTGACTGTTTTTGAACTTACTGGGCAACCAGAGGCACATTTTGTCTCGGACTGGACAAGTTTTCTCGGCTGCCTGGATGCCGAGGAAACTCACGCGCCCTCGTCAGCTGTAACGAATGCCTTCGAGCACTGTTCTGATGATCGGCGCAGCTCAGACACTGCTGTGCTTTGTAGACCGACATTTTCTAATTTCACTTTGCAGCTTCCTTATTTGGGAGCCACCCCATATTTTTGCCGTTTTCGGGGTCTGGCGCCGTATGGATAGTGGCCCTGATACGGTAGCGGTGCCGGCCTGGGCGCCAGCTGGAACCCGAGCAGAGGGATCGCGGGGTCTCTCAGCCCTGTTTCCCAGGGATGTCCGGAGGGCTCCGCGTGCGGGATGCAAAGGCAGGATGGCCGGACGGGTGCAGGGTCTCGGAGCCCTTTCTTTTTCTAAAAACAACTTTATCGAGGTGTGATCGTGCGCAGTCGTGTGTGTCACTGAGACCTGTCACCCTGGAGGCTTCCGTCTGCGGCAGCCCCCTCCGCTGCTTCTGTCCCCGTCGATGAGTTGCCTTTCTGGAAGTTCCATAGTAGGGAACGCAGTCACAGGTGGCCTCCCAGGCTGGTCTTCCCCGGCGCTGTCACTCGGGGACTCACCCGGGCTGTGGCACCCGCGCTCTCCTCCTCCGCGAGCAGCGCCTCTGCCAGGCTGCGCACTGCCGCTCGCAAGTTCCCTGCAGACTCCAAAAGCCATCCACAGGGCAGGGTTGCTGAGGGCGAAGGGTCAGCACCCCGTCCCTGGAACTCACACACATGCTGTTAAGTTCCTGGGGGCCCTGAGACCCCACCGAATCCTGGAGACTTCCCCGCGGGGAGCCCTGTGGACGGAACAGCAGCCCCAGGCCCAGCACCCCACAGGGCTCTCGCCTGAGACCCCACGGCCAGGGCCACCGGCCACCAGGACTGTGGCGAGCAGGTGCCGGGTTCCACTGACGGACCCCGGGTGGTGGTGCCGGACGCTGACACACCCGCGAGCCTGTGCGCACACGGGCGCCCCGACCCCAGCTGATGGCCGCCTGAGTGTGGCCCTCCAGGGCACGAGCTTAGGTGACTCTCTCAGGCAACCTCTTGGAAGTTTCCCGCGTGGGGAGCCCGTCCAGGGGTCGGAGGGCCTATCCCAGCGCGGCGTGGCGTGGCGTGGCGTGGCGCGTCCCAGCGTTTGGGCTCCCCCACTGCTGGGGGACAGGGCCACTCGCTACCTGTAACTCACAGCTCAGCTTCGCAAAGTCCACTCGGGTCTAAAACACACGATCTAGTCGCTTCGCAGACGGCTCAAATCTACGCGTCCTCGCCCTGGGCATGGCGGGCAGAGCCGTCGGGGGGTCACGCGGCCGGCATGGGGTGGGGGGCACGGCGGTGCCGGGCAGCCCCATGACTGTGCCCCCCGCAGGGCGTGGAGGGCACGGGCCTGGCCTTCATCGTCTTCACCGAGGCCATCACCAAGATGCCGGTGTCCCCGCTGTGGTCGGTGCTGTTCTTCGTCATGCTCTTCTGCCTGGGCCTGTCCTCCATGTTTGGGAACATGGAGGGCGTCGTCGTGCCCCTGCAGGACCTCAGGGTCATCCCCCCGAAGTGGCCCAAGGAGCTGCTCACAGGTGTGTGTGGGGCCGGCTGGGCGGGGCCCTGGCGGCGGTGCGGCCCCGGTGCCGTGTGACCCAGCTCTGCCTGCGGTCCGCAGGCCTCATCTGCCTGGGGACCTACCTGCTGGCCTTCATCTTCACGCTGAACTCGGGCCAGTATTGGCTGTCCCTGCTGGACAGCTATGCCGGCTCCATCCCCCTGCTCATCATCGCCTTCTGCGAGATGTTCTCCGTGGTCTACGTGTACGGCGTGGACAGGTAGGGAGGCAGCTGGAGGCGGGGGTTCCCGAGGGGCTTCCAGGCGGGAGCTGCAGGAGGGTCTCGCCCCAGGGCAGCAGCAGGCGCCGCACCGAGGTAGCGAGGCTGGGGCGCGGCCAAACCTGGGGGCTCAGGCTGGCTGAGGAGGATCCCAGCTCCCAGCCAGCCTGGCCCGACGCCGTCCAGGAGCCGTGCAAACCGCACCCGTCCCCCCAGGTGCGGCCAGACCTGCCTCCGCAGAGATACGCACTAATGATGCCTTAGCAGACCGCGCAGGTAGCTTGGGGTGGAGGAGGAAGAAAGCAACTGTGAAATGTGTAGCCAAATACCCTGAGCAAGCGAAAGGCAGGAATGAGCCAGAAACACGCTGAGCCCACACAGACAGAAGCCGGGGACCCCGGAGGTGCAGGAGGGGCAGACAGACAGCTGGCTCAGTCTAGGCATCCGGAGCAGCCCCAGGGCTCAGGGCAGGTGGGAGAGCAGAGGGGCAGGGAGGCAGGGAGGGGCCACCTATGTGCCACGGGGCCTCCTGCTGCTGGGACCGTGATGCCCGGGGCTCCTGGCCTCGGTGTCGTCCCGCCCAGGAAGGGCACCGGGGACTGCACCCCCCAGGGTCCCTGGGCAGGAGCCCTCCTCACTCCCTGGTGCTCCAGGCCTCTCTGGGGGACAGAGGGCTCCCAAAGACAACGGCAGGCAGGGAGCGCGGACGCCATCAGCCGCGGCTGCTGGGCGAACCGGGAAGCGGGCACTCTTGGCAGGCGCTGGGTTCCAGACACCTTTAGAAATAATCCGGCAGCATCTGTTAAAATTAAGCAGGGCAAGCCACGCCGGCTCCTCCTCGGGGAAACCCGCGCTGAGTCCGAAGGCAGGAGCAGGCGGGTCTGGGGACAGGATGCACGTCAGCAATGGTGCGTGACGACAAGAGTCAAACCGGCCCAGGACGGTGGCGGGGCTTAGGAACGCAGGGGCCGCACTGTTCTGGAATCACACGGGTATCCACAAAGAGCGTTGAGGTCCGAATGTGCGGTGTCAGCTGCAGGCAGAAACGCTCCACTGTGAGGCACGCGCACAGTGGCGGACAGTCCCTCGGAGGGAGACTGAGGGACCAGCTCCGTCATCACACGCGTCCGGGGGCTGGCCTGGGTGAGAACCCCACAGCGTCCGCCGGGGTCCCTGGAGGCCACGGGCAGCTCAGGTCACGCTGCACCTGTTCCTCCCTGACTTCCACAGTGAGTCCCTTTTGCAGAAATCGGGCATCGACCCCAGGCCAGGGGAGGGCGGGAGCTCCCCGGCCTCAGGTGCTGTCGCTGCCCCTGAGGCCGAGGCCGGTGTCTGAGGCTCCCCTCTCCGTCCCTCCATCCTGCGTCGGTGACCGCCCCAGGACGTGGGTGAGGACGGGAACACCTCTGTCGATGGCTTCCTGTCAGGGCGCTGGGAGGGGCGTCGCTGAGTGGCCTTCTCAGAGGAGGCACACCCTGGCCTGGACGTGGGCCAGAGCCCCACGTTCCAGGGCAGCACGAGTGTCCGGCGGCAGAGGCGGAGCGTCCTTTGCTCGAGGAGACTGACGTCCCGGTGGTGCCGCCAGTGACGGGTCCCTCTGGCCTTGCTTGCAGGTTCAACCGGGACATCGAGTTCATGATTGGCCATAAGCCCAACATCTTCTGGCAGGTCACGTGGAGGGTGGTCAGCCCACTGCTCATGCTGGTCATCTTCCTCTTCTTCTTCGTCGTGAAGGTCAACGAGGACCTCACATACACCGTCTGGGACCCCAGCTATGTGAGTGCACGGGGGGCACATACACCGTCTGGGACCCCAGCTATGTGAGTGCACGGGGGGCTGAGTGCACAGGGGGCTTGGTGGGTGCACGGGGGGCTGTGTGGGTGCAC